TGGGATTACAGGTATGTACTGTGCCCAACTCATGGAAGGCATTTATTTGTCAAAGACACTTCAGTTACTTTCATACGTATGGAAAGCTTTTTAATATTGATGATGTTTTTGCTAATTTGCAAGATAACAGTAACCAAATTATGTTCTTAATATCTTTTTAAAAATAGTAACACAAGCCAGCACTTGGGAGGCAGAGACAGGAGGATTGCCTTGAGTTTGAAGCCAGCCAAGGCTACATAGTGAGACTGTCTTCGAACAACCATTACACATGCTTTATGTACATTTTTGGATTCAGGATTTGTTGTTCTAACCTCAGACCTTATGTATGCAAAGCATATGTTTTATCACTGAGACAGAAAAAAATGGGTTGACAGCCATATTTAAACAGCAACATAAAATGTCTTAGTGGTTGGCACCTGTAGTTACAGCACTTGGGAAGTAGAGGAAAGATTAGGTTTTCAAGGTCAGTATTGCTACATTGTGTTTGAGACCAGATCAAACTAAAACGGAAAATGTATCTCAAGAAGGGGAATCTTGAGTTGAGAATGTAGCTGAGTGGTAGAGAGCTTGCCTAGCATATAAAAAGGCCTGATTTTGATTCCTCAGCACCAATAGAACTGAAATTTCAGAGTGGGTAAGAAAAAAAAAGTGAATTCCTTGGTTTGTTCCTTTGAGAAAAGTAAAGTGATTGGTGGTAAAGTTCTGATAAAACAATTAAAAAAAATATTACCTACATTTAACGATCTCTTTTTTCTTCTTCAGTATTCTTCCTTGTAAATACTGTTATTTGTATATACTGTAAATGATGACGTCGGTGGGCACTAACCGAGCCCGGGGAAACTGGGAACAACCTCAAAACCAAAACCAGACACAGCACAAGCAGCGGCCACAGGTAATGAACCCAAGGATGTGAATCCCTGAATACTAGCTAGTGGATAGTGGTTTCCATGAAATGTAGCATTCTCTACTTTGGAGTGGTTATTTAGGTCCTTTAATCTTGTTATCTGTTCCTTGGCTCTTTTAGTTTCAGGCCTGAAAACTGTCAGTGACATACTATGATATAGCACATTTACTTTTTAGTTGCTTAATATTGTGAGGCTTAGGGCTTCATTTTGAGTACTGTGTTAGGTATGTCTAACAGTGTTTTTCATTTGGTATCTGAGC